CCTTACAAGTAATTGGTCTTTTCAGATTCTTTATTTCTTCCTGATTCGGGAATGATAGGTTGTATGTTTCTAAGAAGTTTTTTGTTTCTTCCAGCTTGTCTAGTTTTTGGCATTTAGTTGTTCATAAATAAAAATAAAAATAAAGCATAATGAGGAGGCAAAGGAATACTTTCCAAGCAAGGGAACATAGTAACCTCTTATGATCCTTAGTATTTCTGTGGTATCAGTTCAAATGTCTCTTCTTTCATTTATAATTTTGTTGATTTGGGTCCTCTCCTTGATGACTCAAGCTAAAGGTGTGTCTATTTTGCTTTTATTTTCAAAGAGCTAACGCTTAGTTTTGTTAATATTTTCTATTGTTTTCCTCTTCTTTATTTCATTTATTTCTGCTCTAATCTTTATTTCCTTCCTCCTGTTAAATTTGGGTTCAGTTTGTTCTTGTTCTATTTCCTTGAGATGTAGAGTTAGCTTGTTCATTTGAGATCTTTCGTGTGTGTATTAATGTAGGCATTTATTACTATGAACTCCCCTCTTAAAACTGCTTTTCCTGTATCCCATAAGTTTTGGTATGTTGTATCTCCATTTTTGTTTGTCTCAAGGTACTTTTTTATTTCCCCCTCAATTTCTTCTTTGATCCATTTGTTGTTCAGGAGAGTTTTGTTTAATTTCCATATTTTTATGAATTTTCCAGTTTTTCTCCTGTTGTTTATTTCTAGTTTCACACTATTCTGGTCAGAAAAGATATGTCATATGATTTAAGTCTTCTTTAATTTGCTAAGACTTGATTTGTGGCCTAACATATAAGTGAATTACATACCACCCTTACCATATTACAGAATCTAACTTTTTTGTTTTAATGATGTTAATTAGCATCCTTTTACTTCCACTGAAGGAACTTCCCTTAGTATTTCTTGTAAGGCAGATCTATTGGTGATAAAATCCTTCAGCTTTTGTTTGTTTGGGAACCTTTATTTCTCCTTCATTTCTGAAGCACAGCATTGCCTGGCATAGAATTCTTGTTTGACAGTTTTTTTCTTTCAATATTTTGAATATATTATCTCATTCTCTCCTTGCCTGAAAATTTGCTATTGAGAAATCTACTGCTGGTTTTATGGGGGTTCCCTTTTATGTAAATCGCTTCTTTTCTGTTGCTTCTTTCAAACTTCTTTCTTTGTCTCTGACTCTTGACAATTTAATTATAATGTGTTGTGGTGTAGCCCTATTTGGAGTCAATGTATTTGGGGTCTTCTGTGCCTCATGTATCTGGATATTCATTTCTCTTCCCAGGTTTTGGAAGTTTTCAGCCATTATTGTTTTAAATGTACTTTCTGTCTCTTTCATTTTCTCTTTGCCTTCTGGAATTCCCATAATGTGGATATTGTTTCTTTTCATTCTGTTCCATAGTCCCATAGGCTTTCTTCACTCCTTTTTATTATTTTTGTTTTTGCTCCACTGACTGCATAATTTCAAATGTCCTGCTTTCTAGATCACTGATTCTGTATTCTGCATGGTTGAGTCTGTTGTTGAAACTCTCTATTGAATTCTTCAGTTCAGTCATTGTATTTTTCAGCTCTAGGATATCTATTTGGGTTTTTTTGTTGGTGGTTTCTATTTATATGTTGAACTTCTCATTTTGTTTATGCATTGTTTTCCAATTTCATTTAGTTGTTTATGTTCTTATAGTTCACTAAACTTTAAGATTATTGTGTTATTTGCCTGACAGAAATAGATAGATCTCCATTTCTTTAGGGTTAGTTATTGCAGCTTTATTAGTTTCCTTTGGTTGTGTTACATTGACCTGATATTTTTGTGATCCTTGATTCCTTACGTGGATATCTGTGAAATTGAGTAAGGGGTCTTCTCTTCCAGATTTTACAGGTTTGCTTTGGCAGAGATAGTTCTTCACCAGTCAGCTCAGTTTGGGTTTCTGGACACGTCCACTGATAATGCCCTCAGGCAGGTAGGGCTTAGTATCAGTGCCTATTTTTGAGTGAGGCCACTGACCAAGCTCTGAAGTCAGGAGTGGGGTTGCCACTGGATGATAACAGTTGCACAGGACTGCTGGCTTCATTCTCTGTCCAACCAAGGCTGTAAGAATGCTCCATGGAGGGCTGGCCCCATGGCCGAGTGGTTAAGTTCACGCACTCCACTGCGGGCGGCCCAGTGTTTCGTTGGTTCAAATCCTGGGCGCAGACATGGCACTGCTCATCAAACCACGCTAAGGCAGTGTCCCACATGCCACAACTAGAAGGACCCACAACAAAGAATATACAACTATTCTGGGAGGCTTTGGGAAGAAAAAGGAAAAAAAATAAAATCTAAAAAAAAAAAGAGAATGCTCCATGGTTGCCTGCATTCACTGGTCAGGCTTCCTAGATTATCAGGATAGGGTACTTTACTCAGCAGCAGGTGGACTATGAATTAGCTTCTCTGTACTGTCTGGGCAACACAATGAGCCCCAAGGCCTGCATGGCTCATTGTTTTGGGGCCTGAATCAGGCAAGACTCTGCACTGAATTCCTTGGCCAGAAGGGGCTACTGGTTTTGCTCTGAAGATAGGGAAAGCCATGGGCTGTGCTCTTTGTTCAAGTGCCACTGTACGCAGATGGCTATGCAGCTTCTTGTGTACTCTGATTGGGTTCCCTGGTCAGGCTGGCTGAAGGCTATATTCAGCAATGGAAGGGGCTATGAATTAGTTTCCCTGCCCAGGTGGAGCAGGAGAAGCAGCTTGGATCTTTGTGGTCTTGACTCAAGCTGATCTGTACCCCAAGTTCCCTGGCTGAACACGCTGCTGGCTCTGCTCTGTGGATGGTCAGCTCTGCCTGCCATACTCTTAGCTTCAGCATTGCTGGGCTATACAGCTTCCAAGTATTCCAGCCAGGCTTTCTGTTCAGGCAGGGCTGAGACCTATACTCAGATGTGGATGGGGCTAGGAATTATCTCCCCTTCCTGGGCAGAGTGGGAGGGCAGGCTCCAAGAAGACTCTCAGGTGTTTGTGGTTAAGGTTTTTGGTGGGCAGAGCTGGGAGCTATATCTAGCAATGGGTGGGCTATGAATTAGCTCCCTTGCCTAGGCAGAACTGACTAAAAGCCCATCAAAGCTCTTTGTTTGTGGTCTTGATTTAAGCTGACCCACACCTCAAGTTCTATTGCCAAACAATGCCGCTGGCTTTGCTCTGGCAATCAGTTCTGCCTGCCTTATTCTCTGCTCATGCCTTGCTGGGTTATACAGATCCCAGTTGTTTCAGCCAGTCTTCTGTTCAGGTGGGGCCTTGGCATTGGGCAGGGCTATGACTCATTTCCCCTAGGGGTGTGGGACAGATCAGCCTCCCAGTTCTGGCAAGACTTTTTATTTGAGGACCTAAATCAGGCATGCATACACCCCATCAAGTGTTCTGGTCAGACTGCTGCACTATCTTGGCTCTGCAGATGACCAAAGCTGCTGATTAGGACTACAACTTGGGTATTGCATGTGGGAACCTGGTCTACTAAGATCGAAACACTAGTTGTTGCATGCCCTTCCACACTTCTCCATCACAATTGTATCACAGTTGTCAAGCCCCCCAGCATCCTCTGTGCTCCCCATGAGGCAAGACTGGATTGGGAACTCTCAAGAAGTGACTTACAATCCTGGGGAAGCTGTATGTTCACCCTGGGCTTTCTTTCCCCACTTGAACCATAGGCTCTAGGGAGACTTCTCAGTGTGGTGCTGTGCCAGCCTTGGTGAGGGGCAGTGCATTCAGTGCCTAGTTACTCCTCTTACCCTTCTGATGCTGTCTGTCTTGGTCTCTGTTGGTGCAGGGGGTGCTTCAGCCTCTCCTCTGTGCTCTAGGAGTTTCTCAGTGGTGTTTACTCCATGAATAATTTTTAGTTCTTCTTGTGAGGAGGAGTGAAGTTGAGAACAACGTATGTTGCCATTTTGGTGACATCACTCCTGTTGCGATTTACTTCTTAATGCGGACCTGGAGGCAATGAGGGGTGGTGAGACAAATGTCTTGGGTATTGTCATCAAAAATGTTTTTTTAAATGTAGGAGTTCTCTCATTATTTAGAGAGAAGCTTCCTCTGATGGTGAAGGAAGTCCAGGGATATTTGTGCTTGGCACACCAATTGTTCCCATCCCAAGTTTCAGATTCTAACTCCTTCCCTAACAAATCTGGTAGAATTGAGGATTAACTTGGTGCTGCAATCCTGCAGTCCTCATAATTAAGCCATGAGATTGATCATCAACCATGTAAGTCCAACAACTACAGAAGATGAGGTGTTACTACAGTGCTGTTACAGAGGGTTTCTGATTGCCTATTTGCATCCTCAGGTGCTCATTCACAGCTTTCCATATATTTTTTTCATAACCTACATTCTCTACTCCTGTCATAGATGCCAGTTGACCCCAAAATCTTTATCATAGTTTGTCATTATAGTAATGAAGTGCCATGATCTTTCTCGCAACTTGGCCTCCATCTGTGCCTTATCCTATGTCAGATTTGGTAATAAACTGAGAAATCATGATATCATTGCATATTATGAATTATCGGTGCCCCATCCTGGCAGGAAGTAGGCGGCATAGTTAAACTGAATAATTTGGTTATGTAGCCACTTTGTGAGCTGGGAGGCAGTGTATCATTTGGACTGTCCTAAATGAATATGAGAGCTGTTGTAAGAAATTAGGTAAATTGAAGATTATGGTCCATGTAGCCAAAAATCTAATGTTAACACAAAAACAGCCCTTTTACATAGTTATGGTAGCTACTTAAGAATTATGTTAGACATTCAGTTGTTAAATCATGGCAAAGCTTGGCATAGATTCAGTATGCTTATACCAACTTAATTTCATAAGAAGAGCTACAGCTTCTCATCTGTCCAAAGAACTATATTTCCCTATTCTTAAGTATTTGATAAAACAATAAAAATGTTCAGAATTAGAAAACTATCTTTTTACAATGCTTCAGTGAATTGTCTTTCATTTTATTTATTTATTTATTTATTTTTTTTGTTAATGTTAGTATCCCAAGGAGATAACTTTGGAGGCATTTTCAGTTATTTTCACCCAGATGCTGGGAATCAGTCTGGGAATATCATACGATGACCCAAAGAAATGTCAGTGTTCAGGAGCTGTCTGTATAATGAATCCAGAAGCTATGTAAGTTTTTTAAAAATAAGATTTATTTCTTGGTTATGTTTATTTGTTTTATACATGTAAGGTGAAATAATTTAGTATTTACTTATGGGGCAAGATATCTATCAATGGATTAAGTACTAGAAATTGGAAACATGAAATTTTAAGTGTAAGAGGAATATGGCAGGAGGTATACCATTAAGAACAGTCAAGGCCAACAAATGATGTAAGCATCATGGTGAGGTGAGTTGTTACCTTTGTCTTTTCCCTCTAAGTTACATCTAAACTGTCATCTATTAATCAATGGAGGATTCCCTACACAACACAACAGGACACCTGAGAAATCCATGCAGCTATAAATCTGAAGGTGGGTGTACCGGACCCCCATAAATCAGTAGAACTAAGGGAGGGACCTCCCCCTACCCAGTGGCAGTGATCCAGGATGCAAATCCTCACACAGTGGCCAGCATGACTGTGAGTGGAGGCAAGAACAGCTTGTCCTTGGTGAAAATGCTTTCAAAGTGGTGGCCAAGTCCATAAGACTGCCCACCATGCTATAGTGGTACAATGTGAATACTCCCCACCAGGGGTGGTGGCTCAGTCCCTGCAAAGGTGCACTGCCTGTGAAGTGCAGTGCTGGACCTTGCAAAGGGACCCCACCTGCCAAAGTGCAGCAGCCCGTGGAACCAACTTGCTGAGCACAGCACCTGGCCTGTATGAAGTTGCCATGCCTGCATAAGCATGACCTGCCTGACAAGCACAGCAGCCCTGCCTGCAAGATGGCAACCTGCTCACCTGTGAAACACAATGGCTGGCCCTTGTGAAGGCACTCTGCACATGTGAATGTGACCTTATTGCTGAGTGCAGTGGCCGCAGCTGCTCAATGAGTTGCACCTCACCTGCACAAGTGCAACTCACTGAGCAGCTGCAGCCAGCTTGCACAACTGCAGAGCAGCCCAATCTGCACAGCTAAGAGCAGATGGGGCAGAAACAGAAAACACAACCCCTGCCTCACCTTGCAGTGGTGGCAGGTGCAATCTGCAACCAGATACTACCACAAATGTGCCGGCAGAGGATCAATTCATCAAACACCATGAAGAACAATAGTAACACTGCAGAACAGAAGGAAAACAACAAGGCCCCAGAAACTAAACCTGAAGTCACCGGAAACTACAATCTAAATGACAGAGAATTCAAAACAGTTGTCTTTAAGAAACTCAAGGAGTTACAAGCAAACACAGACAGTTCAGTGATCTCAGGAATAAAATTAGTGAACAGAAGGAATATTCGCCAGAGATTGAAGGCCTTAAAAAAAAAATACAGAAATTCTGGATACAAAGAACACAATTAATGAGATAAAAATAATGTAGAATCCATAAAAACTAGAGCAGACCTTATAGAGCAGAGAGTACGTATCCTAGAAGATAGAAATCTAGAAATTCTTCAGGTGGAGGAGCAAAGAGAACTAAGATTTTAAAAAATGAAGTGTATGGTATAGACATACTTACATCAGACAAAGCAGACTTCAATATAAAAAGTATACTGAGAGACAAAGAGGAGCAGTGTATAGTGAGAAGAGGGACATTCCACAAGAGACTGTAAAACTTATTAATATGTATGCACCTAACACAGGAGCACCAAAGTATATAAAGCAACTATTAACAAACCTAAAGGAAGAAATTGACAGCAAGACAATAATGATACTTACACTTACATCAACGGACAGATCATCCAGATAGAAAGTCAACAAAGAAACAGTGGCCTTAAATGAAACACTAGACAAGATGGTGTTAATTGACACACACACACACACACACACACATATATATATATATATACACACATAGAACATTCCATCTAAAAACAACAGACTACACATTCTTCTCCAGTGCCTGTGGAACATTCTCAACATAGACGACATGTTGGAAAACAAGGCAAACACACCTCGATAAATTTAAGAAGATTGAAATCGTGTTAAGAATCTTTTCCAGCCATAAGGCTGTGAAACTAGAAGTCAACTACACGAAAAAATCTGGGAAAGTCACAAATATGTGGAGATTAAACAACATGCTACTGAACAACCATTGGATCAATGAAGAAATCAGAGAAATAAAATATCTGGATACAAATAAAAATGAAAGCATAACATCCTAACTCTTAAGGGATGCTGATGCTGAGGGAAATTTACAGTAATACAGGCCTACCTCAACAAACAAGGAAGATCTCAAATATTTATCTTAAATTACACCTAACAGTGTGAGAGGTAGACTCGTATACTTTATCTTAGAAGGGATTTGCAGAGGTTGGTAGTTGTTCCTTTTAATGGGAGGGAGATTGGATTCGGGGGATGTGGAATGAGACCGGGGCGTGTGTGTGTGTCTGTGTGTGGTTTGGGAAGTTTTGGATTGCTGTTTCTCTCATTTAGTCTATTCGGAGTCTGTTTATTCTTGATTCAGTTTTGGGAGGTTGTATGAGTCTAAAAATTTATCCGTTTCGTCTAGGTTATCCAATTTGTTGGCATATAGTTTTTTGTAGTATTCTCTTATAATCCTTTATATTTCTTTGGTATCTGTTATCATTTCTCCTCTTTCATTTTTAGTTTTATTTGCATATTCTCTCATCTTTTCTTGGTGAGTTTGGCTAAGAGTTTGTCCATTTTTTTTGATCTTTCAAAGAACCAGCTCTTAGTTTCATTGATCCTTTCTATTGATTTTTAAGTCTCTATTTCATTTATTTCTTTTTTTATTGAGTTAATGATACGTTACAATCTTGTGACATTTCAGTTGTACATTATTGCTTGTCAGTCGTGTTGTAGGTTCACCACTTCACCCTTTGTGCCCACCCCTGACCCCCTCTTTCCCCTGGTACCCACTAATCTGTTCTCTTTGTCTACGTTTTTAAATTACTCATATGAGTGCAGTCATACAGAGATTGTCCTTCTATAACTGGCTTATTTCACATAACATAATTCCCTCAAGGTCCATCCACGTTGTTGCAAATGGGACGATTTTGTTCTGTGTTATGGCTGAGTAGTATTCCATTGTATATATATACCACATCGTCTTTAGCCAATCATCGGCTGATGGGCACTTAGGTTGCTTCCATGTCTTGGCTATTGTAAATAATGCTGCAATAAACATTGGGGTGCATAGGACTTTTGGAATTGCTGACTTCAAGCTATTTGGGTAGATACCCAGTAGTGGGATAGCTGGGTCGTATGGTAGTTCTATTTTTAATTTTTTGATAAATCTCCATACTGTTTTTCATAGGGGCTGTACCAGTTTTCATTCCCACCAGCATTGTATGAGGGTTCCTTTTTTCCCACAACCTCTCCAACATTTGTTACTATTAGTTTTAGATATTTTTGTAGTTCTAATGGGTGTAAGGAGATACCTTGTGTAGTTTTGATTTGCATTTTCCTGATGATCAGCGATGATGAACATCTTTTCATGTGCCTATTGGCCACCCGTATATCTTCTTTGGAGAAATATCTGTTCATGTGTCAAACCCATTTTTTGTTTGGGTTGTTTGATTTTTTGTTGTTGAGTTGTGAGAGTTCTTTATATATTATGGATACTAAGCCTTTGTCAGACATTTGACTTGCAAATATTTTTCCCAGTTAGTGGGTTGTTTTTTTGTTTCCATCCTGTTTTCATTTGACTTGAAGAAGCTCTTTAATCTGATGAAGTCCCATTTGTTTATTCTTTCTATTGTTTCCCTTCTCTGAGAAGGCATGGTGTCCGAAAAGATCCTTTTAATATTGATGTCAAAGAGTGTACTGCCTACGTTTTCTTCCAGAAGCCTTATGGTTTCAGGTCTCACCTTTAGGTCTTTGATCCATTTTGAGTTTATTTTGGTGGATGGTGAAAACGAATGGTCAATTTTCATTCTTTCACATGTGGCTTTGCAGTTTTCCCAGCACCATTTCTTGAAAAGACTTTCTTTTCTCCATTGTATGCCCTCAGCTCCTTTGTCAAAGATAAGCTGTCCATAGATGTGTGGTTTTATTTGTGGGCTTTCAATTCTGTTCCATTGATCTGTGCACCTGTTTTGTACCAGTACCATGCTGTTTTGATTACTGTAGCTTTGTAGTATGTTTTGAAGTCAGGGATTGTGATGCCTCCCGTTTTGTTCTTTTTTCTCAGGATTGCTTTAGTAATTCGGGTTCTTTTGTTGCCCCATATGAATTTTAGGATTCTTTGTTCTAATTCTGTAAAGAATGTCTTTGGGATTCTGATTGGGATGGCGTTGAATCTGTAGATTGCTTTAGGTAGAACAGACATTTTAACTATGTTTATTCTTCCAATCCATGTACATGGAATGTCTTTCCATTTCCTTATGTCGTCATCCAATTCTCTCAGAAAGGCCTTGTAGTTTTCATTATATAGGTCCTTCACTTCCTTAGTTAAATTTACCCCAAGGTATGTTATTCTTTTTGCTGTGATTGTGAATGGTATTGTATTCTTGAGTTCTTTTTCTGTTGGTTCATTACTGGAGTATAGAAATGCTACTGATTTATGCAAATTGATTTTATACCCTGCAACTTAGCTGTAGTTGTTGATTACTTCTAACAGTTTTCCAATGGATTCTTTGGGGTTTTCTATATGTAAGATCATGTCGTCTGCAAACAGCGAGAGTTTCACTTTCTCCCTCCCTATTTGGATTCTTTTTATTCCTTTTTCTTGCCTGATTGCTCTGGCCAGGACCTCCAGTACTATGTTAAATAAGAGTGGTGATAGAGGGCATCCTTTTCTCGTTCCTGTTTTCAGGGGGATGGAGTTCAGTTTTTGCCCATTGAGTATGATGTTGCCTATGGGTTTGTCGTATATGGCCTTTATTATGTTGAGGTAGTTTCCTACTATGCCCATTTTGTTCAGAGTTTTTATCATAAATGGCTGTTGTATCTTGTCAAATGCCTTCTCTGCATCTATTGAGATGATCATGTGGTTTTTATTTCTCAGTTTGTTGATGTGGTGTATCACGTTGATTGATTTGCAGATGTTGAACCATCCCTGTGTCCCTGG